CCACCAAAATTCGATTTTCTAGTGAAAACATAAAAGTCGATTTTCTGGCTAAACGAAAGGCCCTAGGGCCAAAAGGATTAAAATCTGTGTTCACTTTGCATCTCACCAAAATTCTAGTGAAAACATAAAAGTCGATTTTCTGGCTAAACGGAAGGCCCTAGGGCCAAAAGGATTAAAATCTGTGATCACTCTTACATTCCACCAAAATTCGATTTTCTATTGAAAACATAAAAGTCCATTTTCTGGCTAAACGGAAGGCCCTAGGGACAAAAGGATTAATATCTGTGATCACTCTTACATCCCAGATTTTTCTAGTGAAAACATATAAGTCCATTTTCTTGCTAAACGGAAGGCCCTAGGGCCAAAAGGATTAAAATCTGTGATTAGTTACTTCCTACCAAAATTCGATTTTTTAGTGAATACATAAAAGTCCATTTTCTGGCTAAACGGAAAGCCCTAGGGCCAAAAGGATTAAAATCTGTGATCACTCTTACATTCCACCAAAATTCGATTTTCTATTGAAAACATAAAAGTCCATTTTCTGGCTAAACGGAAGGCCCTAGGGACAAAAGGATTAATATCTGTGATCACTCTTACATCCCAGATTTTTCTAGTGAAAACATATAAGTCCATTTTCTTGCTAAACGGAAGGCCCTAGGGCCAAAAGGATTAAAATCTGTGATTAGTTACTTCCTACCAAAATTCGATTTTTTAGTGAATACATAAAAGTCCATTTTCTGGCTAAACGGAAGGCCCTAGGGCCAAAAGGATTAAAATCTGTGATCACTCTTACCTTCCACCAAATTTCAGTTTTTTGGTGAAAACATAAAAGTCCATTTTCTGGCTAAACGGAAGGCGCTAGGGCCAAAAGGATTAAAATCTGTGATCACTCTTACCTCCCACCAAATTTCAATTTTTTGGTGAAAACATAAAAGTCCATTTTCTGGCTAAACAGAAGACGCTAGGGACAAAAGGATTAAAATCTGTGATCACTCTTACATCCCACCAAAATTCGATTTTCTAGTGAAAACATCCCACCAAAATTCGATTCTCTGGTGAAAACATAAAAGTCCATTTTCTAGTGAAAATATAAAAGTCCATTTTCTGGCTAAACGGCATGCGCTATGGCCAAAAGGATTAAAATCTGTGATCACTCTTACATCCAAATTCCATTTTCTAGTGAAAACATAAAAGTCCATTTTCTGGCTAAACGAAAGGCCCTAGGGCCAAAAAGATTAAAGACCAAAATTCTAGGGAAAACATAAAAGTCGATTTTCTGGCTAAACGGAAGGCCCTAGGGCCAAAAGGATTAAAATCTGTGATTAGTTACTTCCTACCAAAATTCGATTTTTTAGTGAATACATAAAAGACCATTTTCTGGCTAAACGGAAAGCCCTAGGGCCAAAAGGATTAAAATCTGTGATCACTCTTACATCCCACCAAAATTCGATTTTCTATTGAAAACATAAAAGTCCATTTTCTGGCTAAACGGAAGGCCCTAGGGACAAAAGGATTAATATCTGTGATCACTCTTACATCCCAGATTTTTCTAGTGAAAACATAAAACTCCATTTTCTATTGAAAACATAAAAGTCCATTTTCTGGCTAAACGGAAGGCCCTAGGGACAAAAGGATTAATATCTGTGATCACTCTTACATCCCAGATTTTTCTAGTGAAAACATAAAACTCCATTTTCTGGCTAAACGGACGGCGCTAGGGCCAAAAGGATTAAAATCTGTGATCACTCTTACATCCCACCAAAATTCGATTTTCTAGTGAAAACATAAAAGTCCATTTTCTGGCTAAACGGAAGACGCAAGGGCCAAAAGGATTAAAATCTGTGATCCCTCTTACATCCCACCAAAATTCGATTCTTTGGTGAAAACATAAAAGTCCATTTTCTAGTGAAAATATAAAACTCCATTTTCTGGCTAAACGGCATGCGCTAGGGCCAAAAGGATTAAAATCTGTGATCACTCTTACATCCCACCAAATTCCATTTTCTAGTGAAAACATAAAAGTCTATTTTCTGGCTAAACGGAAGGCCCTAGGGCCAAAAAGATTAATATCTGTGATCACTCTTACATCTCACCAAAATTCGATTTTCTAGTGAAAACATAAAAGTCCATTTTCTGGCTAAACGAAAGGCCCTAGGGCCAAAAGGATTAAAATCTGTGTTCACTTTGCATCTCACCAAAATTCTAGTGAAAATATAAAAGTCGATTTTCTGGCTAAACGGAAGGCCCTAGGGCCAAAAGGATTAAAATCTGTGATCACTCTTACATTCCACCAAAATTCGATTTTCTATTGAAAACATAAAAGTCCATTTTCTGGCTAAACGGAAGGCCCTAGGGACAAAAGGATTAATATCTGTGATCACTCTTACATCCCAGATTTTTCTAGTGAAAACATATAAGTCCATTTTCTTGCTAAACGGAAGGCCCTAGGGCCAAAAGGATTAAAATCTGTGATTAGTTACTTCCTACCAAAATTCGATTTTTTAGTGAATACATAAAAGTCCATTTTCTGGCTAAACGGAAAGCCCTAGGGCCAAAAGGATTAAAATCTGTGATCACTCTTACATTCCACCAAAATTCGATTTTCTATTGAAAACATAAAAGTCCATTTTCTGGCTAAACGGAAGGCCCTAGGGCCAAAAGGATTAATATCTGTGATCACTCTTACATCCCAGATTTTTCTAGTGAAAACATAAAACTCCATTTTCTGGCTAATTGGACGGCCCTAGGGCCAAAGGGATTAAAATCTGTGATCACTTTTACGTCCCACTAAAATTAAATTTTTTTGGGAAGACATTAAAGTCCATTTTCTGGCTAAACGGAAGGCACTAGGGCCAAAGGGATTAAAATCTGTGATCACTTTTACGTCCCACTAAAATTAAATTTTTTTGGGAAGACATAAAAGTCCATTTTCTTGCTAAACGGAAGGCGCTAGGGCCAGAAGGATTAAAATGTGTGATCACTCTTACATCCCACCAAAACTTGATTTTCTAGTGAAAACATAAAAGTCCATTTTCTGGCTAAACGGAAGGCCCTAGGGCCAAAAGGATTAAAATCTGTGATCACTCTTACATCCCACCAAAATTCCACTTTTTGGTGAAAACATAAAAGTCCATTTTCTGGCTAAACGTAAGGCGCTAGGGCCAAAAGGATTAAAATCTGTGATCACTCTTACATCCCACCAAAATTCGATTTTCTAGTGAAAACATAAAAGTCCATTTTCTGGCTAAACGGAAGGCCTTAGGGCCAAAAGGATTAAAATCTGTGATCACTCTTACATCCCACCAAAATTCGATTTTTTAGTGAAAACATAAAAGTCCATTTTCTGGCTAAACGGAAAGCCCTAGGGCCAAAAGGATTAAAATCTGTGATCACTCTTACATCCCACCAAAATCCGATTTTCTAGTGAAAACATAAAAGTCCATTTTCTGGCTAAACGGAAGGCCTTAGGGCCAAATAGATTAAAATCTGTCACTCTTACATAGGGCCAAAAGGATTAAAATCTGTGATCACTCTTACATCCCACCAAAACTTGATTTTCTAGTGAAAACATTAAAGTCCATTTTCTGGCTAAACCGAAGGCCCTAGGGCCAAAAGGATTAAAATCTGTGATCACTCTTACATCCCACCAAAATTTGATTTTCTAGTGAAAACATAAAAGTCCATTTTCTGGCTAAACGGAAGGCCCTAGGGACAAAAGGATTAATATCTGTGATCACGCTTACATCCCAGATTTTTCTAGTGAAAACATAAAACTCCATTTTCTGGCTAAACGGACAGCACTAGAGCCAAAGGGATTAAAATCTGTGATCACTTTCACGTCCCACTAAAATTAAATTTTTTTGGGAAGACATAAAAGTCCATTTTCTGGCTAAACGGAAAGCGCTAGGGCCAAAAGGATTAAAATGTGTGATCACTCTTACCTCCCACCAAAACGTGATTTTCTACTGAAACATAAAAGTCCATTTTCTGGCTAAACGGAAGGCCCTAGGGCCAAAAGGATTAAAATCTGTGATCACTCTTACATCCCACCAAAATTCCACTTTTTGGTGAAAACATAAAAGTCCATTTTCTGGCTAAACGGAAGGCCCTAGAGCCAAAAGGATTAAAATCTGTGATCACTCTTACATCCCACCAAAATTCCACTTTTTGGTGAAAACATAAAAGTCCATTTTCTAGCTAAACTGAAGGCCCTAGGGCCAAAAGGATTAAAATCTGTGATCACTCTTACATCCCACCAAAAATCGATTTTCTAGTGAAAACATAAAAGTTCATTTTCCGGCTAAACGGAAAGCCCTAGGGCCAAAAGGATTAAAATCTGTGGTCACTCTTACATCCCACCAAAATTCGATTTTCTAGTGAAAACATAAAAGTCCATTTTCTGGCTAAACGGAAGATCCTAGGGCCAAAAGGATTAAAATCTGTGATCAATCTTACTTCCTACCAAAATTCGATTTTTCTCGCACCAAAATTCGATTTTTGGGAGAAAACATAAGAGTCCATTTTCTGGACTAATTTTTGGAGATATTACTTACATGATTGTCCTCATTAAAATTGCTACACTTTTTATATTTTAAATTTCTTTATTGTTTTTATGTTCAAATTAGAACATTTAAATTGCTTACACGGATACAACTGTTTTTTTGTGTTTTATTAATGTTATTTATGTTTAAGATGGAACTACACTTAGAAAAATTACATAGATTTTTTATTATTTCTTTGTATACTTTTTATAATTATTTTGTTTAAGAATCATTTAAAAATCTCAATTTCTTTAGCAAATATTTTACTATGAATAAGTTATTTGTATGTAAGAGTTTATAAAAAATGTTTTACTTTTAAGAAATTGGCTTTAACTATAAAATTAATATATAAATATTAAGACAAATTAAATTTAAGCAACTAGAACTTATAACTAAATAAATACAAATTGTTTAGAATATTTTACAAAAGAAAAAGTGAAGAAGAATTTAAAAATAATTTAAGTAATATTTTTTTTTTTTTAATAAACAATTTAGCTAAGAAAATAGTTCTTTAATGATTTAGATAGAAAAAAAAGGAATAAATGGTAATTTAAAGAAATTAAGGATGTATGGAAGTAAAACTTGTTGTCAAATAGAATATCCTTACTGTTTGAGTTTTTATTAAATTCTTTTAAAATATTTTTCTTTATTTTATTATAAAATGACTTTTTTGGAGTATCTATGTGGTATGTATGTTGCACAAAAACTCTTTTCTACCTTAATTTAATATTTTCTTTTTTTTCCTTTTTTATTTATATCATTTTAAACTTGTCTATTGTTTGTAGTATTGTATATTTGATTTTTGCTTTTAGCAAATTATTTTGCAAACCATACAATTAGTTTAAAGTTATACAGAGTTTTCTCTAAAAAAAATCCTTAAAAAACTTTGTTGTTGTTCTCTTAAACACATTTAAATTTAAAAATTAATTAGTTTTACGTTTTTTATAACATAAATTACATTAAACCTCTTCAAAGTCATCGACATCATCATCATCATCATTAACATCTATTCCAGTTTATCACATTGGTATACGTCTTACAAGTAAATATTCGGAAAACTGTTGACCCTCTACACCACCGCCTGTGCTGGCCTCGATGGTAAAGCCGGCATTTAAAAGCCTTGTTAGCACCTGTACAGAGTTGAGTTTACAATAACCATTGAGCGGGAAACGTATGATTTGACGCCAATCGCCTTGATTCCAGGACACACCACTGCGACTGGTTTGTGTGGCTTGATTGACTTCGGGAAAAACTTCGTCTAGTAGCGAACGTTCGGCTGAGAGCATAATGCGTTCACCCAAATCGGGTGATATATGTAAAGCCACCACTTCATAGTTGTATTCTGTATGAGTGGACGCTCGTGGACTTGTTTTAATGCGTGCCGGGGGTGTGGGCGGCGCCACCAAATAGTTGCCATTACGTACACGATCTTTGCGCATGCTTTCTAATTGTTTAATCATGGCTAAAATGAAATTAATTAAACAAATTTTTTCCCATAACTTAAACCCCAAATACTCACGTTCTACTTCAAAATAACGCGCCTCTTCTAACAACAGCTCCAAATCTGGAAAATCATCCGCTATTAACAGTCTCGAATTTCTCATAAAATTCAAAATATGCCTAAACATGCCACCATCTCGATCTATAAAATAATGTTGCTTTAGCGAATCCAAAACAATGGGTATGGAACCATTAAATAATTTGGCCAATTTTGAATCGGGATATTTGGTCAATGTTTCTAGAGAACTGGTGTATATAGTGCCACCCACATCAATGTGCACAGGTGCGGTATAACGTGAGGCAGCCGCTACACAAGGTATACCCGTTATTGGTTTATGATTCGCATGTAAATAGGAAGCCGCACTACCAGCAGATCCCGCTGTACTGGCCGACGCCGAAGTACCACTAACAGAACCCACCGTACCAGGCGGTAAACCTAAAGGTGTTACTGCTGAACTGGCTGGGGGTGTAGGTGTGGGTGAGCTGGAATTGGAAATCGTTGGTGAGACTGTGGGAGAGGCGCTGTAAAGGGAAATATTCTTAAGGTTAATTGATTTATATAGATAAATAGTTGTTTATTATTGTTTACCTAATTTTGATATCATTTCTGCATATATTCTACCAGTAGCTGACAAATCCCTAGGTTCCAACGATTTGTTTTCTCTTTCTCGCTCTCGATCCATATCGCATTTTTTTCTGAAAAACAAATAAAATAAATTTGAGAAGTTAAGTTAACCATTTAAAAGGAATTTAAAATAAGTTTTTAGACGAGTAAACTTTCTGTATAATCTTTTTTTTCACTAAAAGTCCAAGGAATTTTTAAAACTGAAGTGCTTTGTGTAAGGCTTTTTTGTTAGTTAGTTAGTTAGTTAGTTAGTTAGTTAGTTAGTTAGTTAGTTAGTTAGTTAGTTAGTTAGTTAGTTAGTTAGTTAGTTAGTTAGTTAGTTAGTTAGTAGTAGTTAGTTAGTTTAGTTAGTTAGTTAGTTAGTTAGTTAGTTAGTAGTTAGTAGTTAGTTAGGTTAGTTAGTTAGTTAGTTAGTTAGTTAGTTAGTTAGTTAGTTAGTTAGTTAGTTAGTTAGTTAGTTAGTTAGTAGTTAGTTAGTTAGTTAGTTAGTTAGTTAGTAGTTAGTTAGTTAGTTAGTTAGTTAGTTAGTTAGTTAGTTAGTTAGTTAGTTAGTTAGTTAGTTAGTTAGTTAGTTAGTTAGTTAGTTAGTTAGTTAGTTAGTTAGTTAGTTAGTTAGTTAGTTAGTTAGTTAGTTAGTTAGTTAGTAGTTAGTTAGTTAGTTAGTTAGTAGTTAGTTAGTTAGTTAGTTAGTTAGTTAGTTAGTTAGTTAGTTAGTTAGTTAGTTAGTTAGTTAGTTAGTTAGTTAGTTAGTTAGTTAGTTAGTTAGTAGTTAGTTAGTTAGTTAGTTAGTTAGTTAGTCCTTTCAAAAGTAACAGTTTATGTGTTAATAAAATGAAACTTTTCCTTTTAGAACCTAAAATTCTTTCATTATTCGAATAAGTTTTTTTTGAAAAAGTCTTATCTTACGAAAAGTAACCATTTACACAAGTATTCGTTTCTTTTACAAGTTTTTAAAATTATTTTAAAAAATCGCCTGAAACACTTTTACACACACACCACCACCATTTCTTTATATTTACGGAAAGATGAGCTTTGTGGCCTAAAAACTTGAGAAACTTATTGGTCTGACATTCACATGCGATTTATTTTTGGTTCTTGTATACATTGTGATCACCTTAAGGCATATTTCAGTTTAAGCTAAACCTTTTTTCTTCATTCCTTTATAACGTTGTATGACGAAAACTAAAGTAATATAGAACAGCAAAAATAAAAAAATATATATTATAATGGTAGGGCTATTGATTGGTAAGAGTTGACGAAGGAATGGAGTGGGTGGAAAAGGGGTGTGTATGTATAAATGTTAAGAATTTTATAAAATTTACAAAAGATAAATATTTATTTTAACTCTCATTAATGTTTTAATACATAAAGTAACTCTACAGATTTCTAACATGTAATCATGACATGTGGTTCAGTTTTCCTGCAGTTTTAAATGGAGTTAATGTATCCATTTTAGAAAATACTTTGATAACTATTGCATTGACTTAAATTTTTATAACTTTGAAAGACTTGTCATATTGATACACTTTTTAATATAAAGAGAAAGTTCATATCCACCTAAATGTCTCTAAGTAATGTGAAGAGGTAGTTAGTCATTACTTTAGTGTACCTAAGTAGTCTAGAGAGTAGGTATTTTATAATTTACCGCTCTATGAATATGTTATTTAGCAAGCAGTTAATCCTACAGGTTATATTTGAAGTGGCATAAACACCCTGAACTTCCGGGTTCCATGCTTGCTAAATATTTAGTTGTTTTAAAAACTAATTTTTTATACAGACACATACAGACTAACTTGCTACAAACAACAAACTTATACTGTGATCCTTTATCAAACAAAAAATTTTCCAAAATACAAATTAGAAGAGTTTTATTCAAAAAACATTAAAACAAAAAAAAAAACTAATAAAATAAATTCCCTTAGGTAATCAGGATGTAGATAATATAACATAGAATGGATTGGAATAGAATAGTAAAGTCATATCGAGCAAAGTAGTAAGTAGTGGTGTAGAAAAAAACAACATGACATTTTAAGCTTTAAACCCTTAAAGGCACTAAAAACAAAATGAGGGAAAATGCTGTTGTAGTTGTTGCCTTTGCTGCTGCTGTTATACTCTTTCTCTATGTCGCAGTAACGAGATTGATATTGCAACAAAAGGTACATGGGTGCAAACAGAAACCAAGTAAGAAGAGGGAAGAATTGTAAACTAAAACAAAAGCTTTAGAAAAGCGTAACATATTAGCGCAGTATTAAACAAATATTTAGCACAAAGTTCAGCATAGACAAAAACCTTACGGTTGAAAGCCTCGAGGATAAGAAAAAACAACAAGAAAAAGCAGCAACGACAATATAGACTATTTACCAAAAGGAAGAAAAAAAAAATAAATATACATACAACCCAAAAAGCCTATTGGCAAAGAAAACACCCTCTGCTCACTTACTCACTCATTTACTATGATATTGTACATGCAACCGAAATACTCCAACATTCACACTCTTACTACTGCAACATTTGTGTGTGGGTTTAATATTACTGCTGTTGCTGCAACAGCAATAATGACGATGATGATGCTGATGAGTACGATGATAATGTGGAAAAAGTCTTCTACTATGAAGCTGAGCAGGATGATGATAATGATGAGATACGTGTAGACGAAGAAGAAATATTGCCGTTGGCATTTAGTTGGAATAACTAAGAGTTACAACAACTACGGTAACAATAATACAACTAATACTATTGCAACTAAAACAACAACATTTTCTCAACTAACTCTATTCTATTTAGCTCAAGTTAAGTCAACCAAGTCAATGTGAATCGAAGCAAAAAAAAAGTCCTATTCGTTTCTTTTGATTCATATTTTCACATTTATTTAAGTTAGAAGACGGGCGGGGGGGAAGGAGAAAAGAAAGGAAAGGAGGCCCGAAGAAGAGGAAAGGGGGGGAGGAAAAAGGGGCCGGCAGAGGCAGGGACAACGAACGAACGAACGAAAACGAACGAACGAACGAACGAACGAAGAACGAACGAAGAACGAACGAACGAACGAAAACGAACGAAAACGAACGAACGAACGAACGAACGAAGAACGAACGAACGAACGAACGAACGAACGAACGAACGAGAACGAACGAACGAACGAACGAACGAACGAAAACGAAAACGAACGAACGAAGAACGAACGAACGAACGAAACGAACGAACGAACGAACGAACGAACGAACGAAAGAACGAACGAACGAACGAACGAAGAACGAACGAACGAACGAACGAACGAAACGAACGAACGAACGAACGAACGAACGAACGAACGAACGAACGAAGAACGAACGAACGAACGAACGAACGAACGAACGAAGAACGAAACGAACGAACGAACGAACGAACGAACGAACGAACGAACGAACGAACGAACGAACGAACGAACGAACGAACGAACGAACGAACGAACGAACGAACGAACGAACGAACGAACGAAACGAGAACGAACGAACGAACGAACAACGAACGAACGAACGAACGAACGAACGAAAACGAACGAAGAACGAACGAAACGAACGAACGAACGAACGAACGAACGAACGAACGAACGAACGAAAGAACGAACGAACGAAACGAAACGAAACGAAGAACGAAGAACGAACGAAAGAACGAACGAACGAACGAACGAACGAACGAACGAACGAACGAACGAACGAACGAACGAACGAAACGAACGAACGAAGAACGAACGAACGAACGAACGAACGAACGAAACGAAAACGACGAACGAAACGAACGAACGAACGAACGAACAACGAACGAACGAACGAACGAAACGAACGAACGAACGAACGAACAACGAACGAACGAACGAAAGAACGAACGAACGAACGAAACGAACGAAAACGAACGAACGAACGAACGAAACGAACGAACGAACTGAATAACGAACGAACGAACTAACGAACGAACGAACGAACTAACGAACGAAAGAACTAACTAACTAAACGAACGAAACGAACTAACGAACTAAGAAGAACTAACGAACTAACTAACTAACGTAAGAACGAACTAACGAACGAACGAACTAACTAACTAACTAACTAACTACTAACTAACGAACTAATAACTAACGAACGAACTAACTAACTAACTAACTAAATTAACTAACTAATAACTAACTAATTAACTAACTAACTAACTAACAAACTAATTAACTAACTAATTAACTAACTAACTAACTAACTAACTAACGGACTTATTACAGGAAATTGTGCAAAACGGTATAGAACCTCTTTTGATTTCAGTTAGTTATCAATTCTGCCACTTTCTTCTTTTTAAAGCGTATATTATCATAAACACATAAGCATTCTAATCTATTGGGTGGTTGAGTCTTCGAGATTGTTTCCTATTTCCCTCATATTTTTATCCATTTTTACATATTGTTTTCTTTTTGTTTTGTTACTCCATGGGCTAAACCACTACATACTGGAGCTGGTGTTTTTGTTAACTTTGCTCACACAGACACATACACACATATAAACTCATATCTTTTAGTTTTTATAAAACAACAACTACAAACCCTCTACAGAGCAAAAGAAAAGAAAAACCTAACAAACCCTTAAGCAATTAACTACGACTAAATATCTAGCCATATAACCAACCATGCAGCCAAACCAACTTGCCTAACATTTAGTCAGTCAGTCTCAGCTATTGAGAGGCCGTAGAAGACCTAGAATAAAACCATAAACTCTAGACCAAAAATCGTTCATTTCATTTCGTTTCGATTTACAATGCACACTTGGGGAATATAAAATTGAAAATTAGTTCTTTCTAGTCTCTTCCACATAAGTAGTTACATACACCTACAAGAGCATTCCTTTAAATACTGAAACACATACAAAGATATTATTGCTTGCTCATAGGAAAATGGGGAAAAAGTTTCGTTTGGTTTCTTAGGGATAGTAAGTTTTGTGTAGATTGTATTTGTTTGTCTGATATCATATGTTGTTAGACTCATACCAGTTACTAGATTCATATGATGCCTTTTAACATCCATGTATTTTGGTTTGTATATTCATTCAAGTGTATTTGT